ATTAACTAAAACAGATAAATGATTAGCAACTGTTGTGATATTGCATATGTAATTACTTAATCAGTTTAGATGACAGAAACAGAATATATATCTGTATTGTTTGTGAACTTTAAAAAGAAAGTTTCTCTAAAGCGGCTATCTATATAAGATCAATCACGTGTTAGATCATGCAATGAATAACATTTAGCAATGGTACCTAAATTTTTCAGAAGCTATTGCTAGAACATTACTGCTATAAATTCTATATGTGACAAACAATGTTTTCACAGATACGAAAAATAGCGATACATTCTTGTTGCGATATCTAGAAATCTAACTACATCAGCGAAATATTTTTTTGAGTGTACATCGCCAGGATATCTTAGATCGCCTCTGGCTTTTCTATTTCTACATCGCCAGCACACGTTATATCGCCTCTGGCTTTTCTAATTTTACATCGCCAGCACACGTTAGATCGCCTCTGACTTTTGTAACTACGAAGCTCAAAATCTTAAGAGTCACCAGAGGCATCGGAAATGTCATCGTTATCTCACTTCTATCTACCGTTGCTGATACCATAGTTGCAAATCAGGATTTTCAACTGAGACTAGCTTCCACTCTCATCTTATACGATCACACAAAATCTACGTCAGCAGATTGGAAGACAAAAGTATAACCTGTGTGTCCAACAATGAAGCAAGATTTGTGTGCACTGTAGGAATATGCAGGAAACAAGTTGACAGTTACAAAGTTTTAGTTAATCATCTTAAAAAGCATATGATTAATGGATTAGAAGTAACTTGCTCTTATAATACTTGCAACAAGAAGTATGATAGAGTAAATTTATTTTCAGGACATTTGACGAAATATCATAAATGTCAGATTTTAGTTCCAACTACAGTTGACATGAACATTAACGATGGAAGTAAATTCTGAAAACACAGATCATAGAGAGGAAGATGAAGATTTCACAAGACCCAAAAATACTAGCGATGAAAATGATAATGATGAAGATTATAATAAGCGCGATTCATTCATTAACGCTTTGGCTACCTTCTATCTCAAACTTGAATGTGAATACTTTATTCCGGAAACTACTATTCAATGTATTGTTGAGGAGCTGAAGACTCTAACTGTACATGAGCAGGAAAAAGTTAAGAGGAGATTAAAAAGGCATTTGCAAGAAGAAGGCATATCTTTCTCACAGGTGAATAAAATTGTAAAAGATGTTTTTTCAGATAATTCATACTCTACTAACTTTAAAGAACTGCAAATTATTTACTCGCAAAAAGAGTTTTACAAGTCACATTTTCATTTTGTGTGGCCTAAGAAGAAGCCCTTACCAAAAGGTGAATTCTTCCATTTTGTGCCTATTTCAGAGACTTTAAAGGCATTATTTCATGATAAGTCTCTGGATTTCAATATCAGTGCACCTGTACAGTACGAGTATGGTCTGTTCAAAAACTTTACAGATTGTAGTACTTTCAGAACTAGTTTAATTTTCCACAAAAGAAAAAAATAAACTCTGAACGTCTGAACTAGTGCAGCAGTTCAGCAATAAAAAGACAGACCTAATAACAGGTGGATAGAAATTCAAATTTAAGTGTCCAAATATTTAGACATTTAAAACAGATATATTTAGACTATGAACTAGAAATTATGACAAAAATAACTGAATATATAGACGAGATCAAGAAATATTTATACAACTGGTTAGAAATTCAGACAAAAGTGTCTAAATGTTCAGATATTAAAATTAGAAATATTCAGACAACTGGCTAGAAATTCTGACAAAAGTGTCTGAATATTCAAGCATTGAGATTAGAAATATTCAGACAACTGTGGCTAGAAATTCAGACAATATTCTGTCCGAAAATTCAGACAATGTGACTGTAAGAAAACTTCAAACACTTTCGTCTGAATTGTCAGTCAGTAATTTTTTACAGTAAAGTATAAAATATTTTTCTATATCTTTCATATCGTGCAATTTTAACAAAGAATTTTGCTTTTTTTCGAGAATGCATTCTTTAGAACGCTCGACACGATCTGCACATTTCGATAGGTTTTTGTAAGTTAACGCCTATTGACTCCCCACTAACAAGGAAACGTTCACAAGTGTCCCCCCCCGATTTGATTCTCCTTGAAATATGTTGTAAAACATACAATTTGAAGAGACACGTATTTTTTTATAGCGGCCCTATCTCAAATTTAAGGGGTGAAACACCCCTTTGAAAAAAACGGGTTTTTTCTTTGTGTGTAACTATCGCTAAAACCATAGGAGATACAAAAAAATGTTTTAAATAGAAGTTGTATGGCTTGTAATAGGCTTTATAACTGTGTAGTTAAATTTTCAAAAAATGTAATTTTTTTAATTTACCTCCACCCCTTGTTATTATTTTTTCGAATTTCAAAATTTTTGTAATGACAAAAGTTGTAGCATTTTTTACGCTGAATCCAACAATATATGATTTTATTATGTTCCGAAATCGCATCTTTCAAAAATGAATCATCAGTATCACACTATATGCGTCGCGCTGCATGACGCATCGCTTATACCGCACTTGTGTTGCGCAATAGTCGTTAAATAAATATAAAAATAACATGTTATCACATATTTGAGGAAGAAAAGTTAACTAAAATTGTTGCTAAAGCATTCCGTCCACATTACACTCTTATAGATAATCGCTGCATTTCGTGCGCAGCGCGTTGTCATATACAAGTTTGCTATCAGCGCATATTACACTTTGAAGTTTCGCTTGTAGTAACTACGGGAAAATAATTTATGAAACGAAAACAGTGAATGAATCAATCTATTCAACATATATCCACCTTGACTCTACCCTCTTGGCCCGACTTGACTGACAATGAATTGAAACATAAAATTCTGTACAGTTTACTCTTTTTCAATAGTTTTAATATACTGCGATATATTCTACATACTATTACATTCTATTAAATTACTACGACTTTTTTAAACTATGGTATATAAAATCTTGAAATATAAAATGTATATCATAAATATAATTATAATATATATTGTATATATATATATAATTATATATACATATATATATAAGCTTATTTTATATATTATAATTATACTTATAATATACTATTTTATATACCTTATAGTTTAAAGTATCGTAGTAATTTAGTGGAATGCATTAGTATGTAGAATTGCAGTATATTAAAATTATTGAAAAAGAGTAAACTGTACAAAATTTTATATTTTATTTCATTGTCAGTCAAGTCGGGCCAAGAAGGTAGAGTCAAGGTAGATATATATGTTGAATAGAATAATTCATTCACTGTTTTCGTTTCATAAATTATTTTCCCGTGGTCACTACAAGCAAAATTTCAAAGTGTGATATGCGCTGATAGCTAACTTGTATATGACAACGCGCTGCGCACGAAATGCAGCGCCCGGTAAAAAATTTCTCATACATAATTAGACAAAAATAGTACATATCTAATTATACAAAATTATATACCGAATTTGTCCATACATAAATAGATACACCTATATATAAATGAATATGAATATATATATTTATATATGATTATATAAAGGTGTGTATGAGTAAATATACATTTTCTTGTTTTATTTTGTTGTGTTTTTATTGCGCAAACATAAAGTACATAATCATACATACATCACATCATATATATATATATATATATACTCATACAGTACACAAAGATTGCATACACATTGCATCAATCTTTCATCGCAATGTTGCAATATTGCAAATTCACTGCAAAATGTTGTTGCATCATTGTTGTGGGATTGCAGCAACGTTAAAATGTCCGCTTTTAGGAAGATTGTAACGAAAGATTACAGTAATATTGCAATGTAATGAATTTGCAATAATGCATTGTTATTGCAATCTTAGAATAATGTTGCATATATTTTTATTTATTCGGACATTTATCTGTCCAATTTTTGAACAATCAGTTCAATATCTGAATTCCCTGTGTTGAGGTCGTATCAGAAAATTAAACTGATAAAAATAATTACTATGTCTTTAATCTTACTAGCCACTCTTTGCAAGTTTCATATAATCATCATGACTAAAACTTAAATACGAGATAGATTTTGCAACGCGCGTCGCATAGCGGTAAACGAACGAACTAGCAATTACCGAATATTGCTATTGCAATGTTACTGGAATGTTGCTGTCACATTCTCATGAAATATTACAATTACAGGTTGCAATAATGTCTCAACAATATTTACATTGGCAACTTGCAAGATTGTAACATTGCTGCAATGTAATTGCAATGTTCTGTGCTGTATGGGCAGTAAGAGTGACTTGATGAGGT